TCACCCCCCCTCTTGGTTAGTTTGGGACTAAGTTCATAGGGCTTAACATCCCGATCGAACTTTCAGAGTGATCCTTTCTCTCTGTGTAATAGACAAAAAATTTTGAAGAATCACTAGACTCAATCTCTACACTCATTACACCAACACCTTGTAAAAATTCTTGTTCAAAAAATAAATATATTTTCTTTGAATAAAATTGAGCAGCTTGCTTTAATATCGAACAGTTTTTTATTACAGGTTATATTTCAGATTGACTGCATCTATAATCCTCATCATGTTCATTCCGGCGCCAATTCCTCATCACCTTCTCTAAACCCAGAAAGCAATAAGTTATATAACTTGTGGGCTTATAAATGCCATGTCACACATTATTAGTAGACTCGCTACGTTGTGTTGATAGAATGTCCATGCTAAAACAATCCTTATTGAAGGCTGTTGACCACTTATTTCTTATCCTATAAAGATCCTGCAATCAAACATGATCTTGGAGGTTCCCTTGTATGATTAATTCAGCCCATGCATTCTCAAACTCCTCCTCAGAGTCACATCTGCTCAAACACTTATTGAAGAGGCCTTTGACTTTGTTGTTGGTATTGTAGCACGATACTTTTGATGGAGCCTTTTTACGGATATGCCATTGGCACAGTCTATAGCGACTTTGAGGTAGTGCAACTTCTATGGCCCTAGCCATTGCCTGGTCTTGATCTGTATATATTATTATTGGTTGTTTATCACCCATCATTCGAACAAAAGTTATAAACACCCACGTAAATGATTCAATTATCTCTTCGGACAAGAAGGCCACCCCAAGCAAAATGTTTTGCCAATGATTGTTAACTCCGACAAATGGTACGCATACCAAATTATACTTATTAAGCTTATAACTTGTATAAAAAATTACCATATCACCAAAGCAGTCATAATCTATCTTACCAATCCCATCAACTTAAAAAAAAATTAACAATCTATCAAATTCATCCTTCTGGACATCCCAAGAGAACATTTTATCATTAAGTTGACGTTCTTTAAATAACTCAATCAAAGTATTAGTGTCCCCAAGTTCAATCTTTGCTCTTTTTATTTTTTGAATAAAGTTATACGCATCCCTCCTTGTGAATCCAATAATTTCGACACCTCCAACTTCATCAGCAAGGAAGGAAAATGCATCAATGGTTCTTATCCCAGCATCTGTCATTGTTTTAAGAACAGAAGCTTTTTCATCACACATATTCCTGCATGATCTAAGAAGATGCCGGTCTTCTGGCCTAGGCAAATTATGATTGTGATTTTCAATAAATTTTTTCACCTTCCAATATCCACCTTCATCAACTGTAAACCTAATCATAGCTGGACAACCAGTTCGAGTCTCTGATCTTCGATATTTTCTTTGGATATTAAGATCAGACAACTTCTTGAAACCAGCTTTTGAACAAACAAAGTCCTTGGATTTTAAATTTATGGAATTTGGCCAGTAACTATGATGATCCTTACAAACACTAAAACCAAGATTATATCCATACTTACGATAAGCCTCGTATGTCTCTTTCTCATTAACATAAACATCCTGATAAATAAGCAATAAATAAATTATCCAATACGCAACCAATAAGCAGTAATTAAGCAAAGCAATACGCAACCAATACGCAATAAAAACCCTAATACGCAATGTATACCAATTCAATACGCACATAATACTCATTGTATATCAAAAACAGATAAGCAATACATACACAATTAATACGCAACAAAGCTTTGCAATAAGAAAATCAAACTACAAATTCGTTATTGTACCCTAGCTCAATAATACTGTAAAAGAAGGGAACATCGAGTCTTCTTTTAAAATCAATTATAATTTAACATTATGTACATTGTTGATAATAATTACATCAAGAAGGGAACATCTAAAATATTTGTACCATAAAATAATTACATAAAAAAAATGACTATGTAAGGAAATTTGATTGCAACATTGCTATAAAGAAAGCTTGGAAGAAGGCAAAGTTTACCGATAAGCTAAACTTTTCGTCCAGTCGCACTGGTTCAACGTGTTCTGCTTCATGTGCACTTGTTTCCTGGACGTCGACATTCTCCAGGTTATCGGCTTCCTCCGAGACCTGCGAAAATATTGTCTGCTCATAAAAACCAACATCCTCCTCCAGATCCAGATCAATCTCCATCTTCATCGGCATTTTTTCTGCGAAAATTTTGGCTGCTCTGCGAAAATTTTGGCTCTAAGCGTTATATATTGTAGTGATTCGCGCCTTAAATTCTGAAAAAATAAATGCCAAACTAAATTTAACGTTATCTCCCGGGTTGGGCTGAAAGACGGATCTCCCCGGATTTACGAGATTTATGCAAGTCAATTAACTTTTTAACCCTAAATAAGCAACCGAACACATCTATGTAATCGAATTCCACGCAGAATAATTTCTGCTAAGCACCACCCACACTCCGCACCAAATAACTTCCGACAGGCAACTCATCTTACTCCGGACAAAGAGACGAATGCTCGAATACTCAGGCGCTGCTCGAATCGCCGCCCTATGTCGCCCGAATTCTCAAATTACATGTACTTCCAGCCCATAAGAAAACGACGCGCTGTGAAGGGGAACGATTCAGAACTTCCTCGAAACCCCAATTCTCCTACCACTCCTTACCCTAACCCTAGGTCGATATCCACAATCGCTGCGTGAATGGGGAAGGAGATAATATTGCTCTCTCGAGTTGCTGCGAACCATCTTTTTCTCGGGCAGTTCGAAGCCCTAAGAGCCAACCTACTCAGTCTCAGGAAGCGAAACCCTGACCTTGCTTTGGAGATCCTCCGGAAGATCATATTAGATGGAGGAAGAATCGACGGCATCCTGTGGTCGAGCACATCTTCCTCTCCCTCGGAACTTGCATGGCTTTCCACTCTCGAGCTCCCCAACTTCGACAGAACATCCGCGACATGGAGCTTTGATGTGGAGCTTCTACGTTTGAAGGTGGAGTTCATTCTCCTTATACAATTCGTCTCCTCCACAGCGTTGGGAATCTCACACCTTTGGCCCCTCGACGTAGAAGATGGATTTAAAGGGGATATTTCTGAAAGGGACAGAGGATATTTAGATATTATGAATAAATTGATGCATTTGGGTTTGAGAAGATTGAAGAGTGATACTGCCTATCGCTCGTCGTCATCTGATGAAGCCGCTCAGATCGGACTGGTTGATTTGAGCTGCTTGTGGAAGATAATTGTCGATAATGCTGATATTTTCAGTTCTCTTTGCTGGAACATTCAAAGGCAACTTCACTGGTTTGAAACTTATGATTCAGACTTGGCAATTAGCGTCAGAGCCGAACGTGATCAGTGTTTATCTCCATCCGCTTTGGAGGCGGATATTCTTACTCGATTACAGAAACAAATTCAGATGGCACATTTGGCTGCCTTGAGGGAGAAATCAAATGCAGGTGATATACAGGGAGCTTTCTCTCATATTCGATATCTTCATCTTGATTATGGTGTACCAGAGACTGAGTACAGGTAAGTATTTCTCTCATTTCTCTTTAATTTTATCTATTTTTTCTAAAGCAATGTATTTATTCTGCAAGCCGTTGAACTGTAGTTGTATCAATAAGTTGTCTGTTTGTCATCAGTCTTGGAACAACCTTTTCATGGTGTTTCATCATCCTTCGTTAACATTCATTGTTATTTGTTATCGTTTGCATTTGGGGTCATCCTACTTTTTTAGCCAAATCGTTTTGATAACTTATATCAAATGTGCATTGATACTATTCTTCCTTCCTATATTTTTTTGGAAAAATTCCATTGTTTTCATGTGTGTTCTGTTATAGGTTGGACATGTTGCAAAACATATGAAGTATTTGTTAGTACCTTCGACCTGTTTATTAACTTGATCCTCATTTTGTATTTACTAATCTTCAATGTGCATCTATTTTTCATTTTATGTTACCTCCACCTATATCTGATTTGCTTTCATCAATCAATTTTAAAGTCAGGTAGCCTTTGTTACCATCTTGACAGCTTAAAAGATGTTTGATCTAACATTCCACTGAAGTAGTATACCTTTGATGCAACCTAAATTCTAAAATCAAATAGGACAACACTAGACACGCAGAAAGACACCTCCTTTCAATATCACATAAACAAACACCAAATGATGGAAGCTTAATAGAAAACAAGTGTGGGAAAATGGTTAGGAATTCGCGCAAGAAAAAAAAAAGAAACAAAACACATAAATTAAAATACCCTCAGAACAACCACGATTGGTCACCTCGCATGCAAATCACAAATTAGGGAACAATGCTCAAAGGAAAGGACAAACTAGTGATCCACCATTGTAATTATGATCCAGCATATGTCGACGCTCCTTTGGCAAATACCAACAAAACATGGTACAACATCACTTTACACCGCTCAATATTTAGAGAAGAAAAATATTGGTTGATGGGAAACCGTGTAGAGAAGAAGTAGAAGGAAGACCGATTGGATGAAATTGGGATTAAGAAGATGACAGCTCGCAAGCTAAGAAGAAACCCTCAGGTTTTTTTGGAAGAAAGATACATGTGTAAGGGAAATTGTGGAGGGAAGAAGTAGAAGGAAGGCTGAGAGGAAGAAACAGGGATTAAGATGAAACCCTCAGGTTTTTTGGTTTTCACTCTAACCACCCTACCATAAAAATCCAGCCACCATATATAGGAGGAGGGGGAAAGAGCAATGATTTGCTCACATAAATGTGCCTCCAAAATAACCAATAAGAACCACCCAAATCAACCCTCCCAAGGAGAAGCCAAAGCAACCTGACAGGAATTAACAAGGGGAAAACTGAGCAGCCAACAAGGAAATTGAGCAGACAGTAGGGAAACCGAACAACCACAGAGAAAACCAAGCAACTAGTAGGGAAACTGATTAATTAGCAGGGAAACCGAACAACTAGCCAACTACAGAAAGAAATGGGCCAAGCCCAAGTTAAAAACAACCCATAGATAATCACTCAACCAATCACCAAGGAGCAAGGAAGTAAAATCGACACAAGTGGAAGGACAATGGTGTGAACCAACCTGAGAGCACCGAGCCCAGTTTGATCATGAGTTGTTTTCCATCATAGGGCAATACAAATAAAATACACAGCGTCAAAAAAAATTTTAAAATGTAAATTCTTGACTACATCAACAATGGTGTTAAGGTATCTTATAAGTTTTGTTGCAGAGTCTCCATGATTGCAGTCTCTGAATCATGGTACGTGCTATGTATCTTTTCAAACTTTTTTCATTGGAGTCGTCTTTGACCAAGAAGAAAACATGTAACTAGTGAACTTGTAAATTTATATTTCATTATGTTAGGGAGTCTAGAATAAAGGGAATCAAAGTTGGCTTTAATATATTAATGGTCAAATTCACTTCTAACTGAAAAGCCTAAGCTTATGGGTGATGGATAAACTCATGTATTTATTCATCCTTATATTTTTCATCTATCAAATATGGGACTTAGCCCAATACTGTATTTTACTTGGCAAATATTCCCCTCACTTGAGAGCCCTAAACATTGGTCAATACTCACCCTTAAACTTAAAATTTTCAAATTTTATCAAGTGTCATACACAAAGAGCCTGTTTTACTATGTGTTACTTGCACAATAACTATCATTCTTGATATCTATTATTTCCATTAAAGTGTAAAATGGATGAACCAATCATTCCTGGTTGAAACTTTAGCTCCAATATCACTTTTTTGGGAGAGCGGATCAAAAAGGGTCCAAAGTTGGGCCTAGAAAGCCCATTTTAACCCATAAGCTTGAAGCCTGTTAGTAATAACCAGGCATGGTAGTTTTGCACCAAAATATTTTTCTCTAATTCTGATGGGATTAAACTGAATACTCTTACACGCCTTAACAAATAAAAATTTAACAAACCTATAAATACATTTTTAAGGTTGAGTTAAGGCTTTGCTACATTGTACATCCACTATTGGTATATCAATCACCGACTTGTTGTCTTTAAATGTATCTTATGGTTTATAATTTATTTGTATTTTTTCGTCAGTTGCCACTATGTTAATTTTCTTTAGATCGAGTATTTATTATTGGGGAATGTTTGTTTATCATTAAATCATTAAGAGTTGTTTTTTCTTTTGGCCTATAACATCTGTCCGCTCACTTATTGTTTTATATATATGTATCAAGTTTTTCATATATCATACTATTTTTTTTTTAAATATATTCCCATTTCGAGTTTGAAGGTTGAGTTGAGTTCTTGATTTTCTTAGCAGGTGCACTTTCAAATTTTTTTTGACGGCTTTGGAGTGAGGGCGGATGTGTTTGTTTGTGAGCTGATGATGGCGGGGAGTAGGATTAGGGATGTTTCTGAAAAGTCTGAAGTGAAAATTCATTTCCTGTTTTTTTTTCCTGTTTTATCAGTATCACAAGTTTTATGTTCATTTATTTGAGGAGAGTGGTGGCTATTGTCTCCCGAATGATCACTACTTCAACTATTGGAACTAAAATAATGAAGCAAATCCTTCTTGCGATTCATTACCTTAAGAATTTTGCATCATATCTTCATATTTCTTCAGCTAAAATCCCATGATTTTGATGTTTGTAACTCTGATATTTTGATGTCATGAAAATAAGATATAAAAAACGATGGTGACTAAATTATAGTTGATGGCACATCCAAGTTTAAGAAATCAAGAAAATAAAATATTAATAAATCACTATGTGCTATTTTTCCGTCCTATCTCTTCATATCATTGGTCTATATTGAGATTATATTTTATCCTAATCTTAAATAAGATTAGATAAAATTGCCTTAGATGGTTTGGTCACATAAAACAACGGCCTTACAATGACTCGGTTAGGAGAGTGTAGATGTATTAGATTCGGTCTATGTTAAGAAAGGTAGAGATTGAGATAGACCTTAAAAAACCTTGGTTTGAAGTATTAGAAATGACTTTGCTACACCCACTCCTTGGGCGAGCGGGAGCCAGTTGCTTGGTTGTGACCAATCGAACACAATAGAATAGCTGGACGTGAACCAGAGTAGCAGGGAGGGAGTTTCAAACCCTCGTGGGGCCCAAGGGAGTTAATATTCACTATGTGAGGAGGAGGAATCAAGGGGGAGTTGTTTGGAAAAGTTTTAATTAAAATTGGGAGGGAATTCTTTTGGGAAAGAGATCCAAATTGAATTCAAATATGGGAGGGAATTATTTAGGGAAAGGTAACTGATTTGGGAGGGAATTAGAAGAGCCTATTTAGGATTATCTATATTGTTATTTTAGTTTATGTAATTTATTTTCTGCTGTAGTTTTCTTTGAGAGTTTCCTATCTACGCCTAGGGTTTGTGTGAGAGCCGATCTATCTCTCGAGTTGTAGATCACTTGTATCTTTCTTTCTTGATAAAGATATAATCACAAAATCAAGTGCTATCTTCATATTCTTGCAGTTTCTACTTGTTCACTTTGTTATTTTTGCTTCCAAGCCGCATCAAATTGGTATTACAGCGAGGTTTAAGAGAGACGACAACAAAGAAGATGGATGCATTGAAAGACGAAGTGGAGCAAATCAAATCCTGGGATGGAGGAGAAGTTATCAACTGTCGAATGAAGATTTTCAATCGTGGAAGGAAGGTTTTCAACCATGGAGAATCAGAGAGATCCGATTTGGAGGGATGGAGGAGATGACGTGGAAGCTCATTGAGATGTAATCCAAAACTCCACCAGTAGTTCCAATTGCTAACCCTCACTACAATTTGACCGAGATTACCTTGGTCGAATCTAAGAAAAAAGAGATCGGATAGGAAGAGTTCGATCTCTTGAAGTTTGCACGAGAAACCAGATAGTGTCATTTCAATAGGAGACACCTAGGGAGAAGAGTGGGGGAGTTCTCCTCGGGGCAAACTTCAAGCGTCTCACAGAGGCATAGGTGCAGGACAAGAGATCAAAGGGTCTGTTCTTCTGCTTTGAAGAAATGTATGCATCAGGCCACTGGTGCAAGGACCGCACACTCCAGGTCCTTATGGTTTGTGATAAGGAGACCGACAATGAGGATCTAGTAGAGGAAGCAGAAGAGCACCTATACCTTGATGTGGCGCCGTAATGTCCCTTAATTCGGTGATGAGATTTACTCCAAATCACACCATGAAAGTGAGCGGACAGATTAGGGAGCAGCCATTGGTGGTCTTGATGGATAGCGTGGCTACCCATAACTTAATCTCAAATCGGGTCATGATCCAGTTGAGATTGAAGTTGGTGGATACAAAGAGCTTTGGAGTCATGATGGAGACAATTGAAGGTGGAAAAGATTAGGGGATTTGTAGGAGGTTGGTGTTGACACTCCATGACATACAAATAACAGAGGATTTTTGTCCCTTGGAGCTAGAAAAAATAGATGTAATTTTGGGCATGAAGTGGTTGCAGACTCTGAGAGAGACCAAGGTGTACTGCAAGACATTTCCTATGGAATTCATGGTGGGAGAGAGGAAGGTGATGATCAAGGGGGATCCTAGTCTGTCTAAAACCAGGGTTTCT